TGACTCCATCTCCAGCCCCGGGCCCAGCTGCTGGCGGGCAGCACGCACAGGGAGATGGTCAGATGCTGCCCAGTGCCCACCGGCCCCGAGGGGGGGGGGGGCAGGCCGACGGACGCAGGCAGGTGAAGGAGGCCGGCCGTAAAGCCTTACATCAACAGAGGAGGAAGACAACAGCACACAGGAGGGCAGGCAGTTGGATACTCAAACAGAAAGCAACGGAAGCTAACGCTCTTTAAACTTCAGTTCTTTTCTTTTCTTTTTTTTCAGTGAGCTGGGTGGTCATTAAAGCAGCACCGGTTCGGCCCCATGCAACTGTTCAAATTTTGGCCAGCCAGTGAAACATTACCAGAGTGCAAAACTTAGTTTTATCTGAAGGTGAAATGATAAATCTTTGTTCTTAATAAGACTGTGAAGGCCATTTAAGGCCATGGGGTCACAGATTTGAGTCCTCTGGACTAACAATCTGAGGACAACATGGTAAAAAGACTGGTTAAAAATTAAATAAACTTGTAATAACAGTCTATCTAGTCTATCTATCCATGCATCTACAGGAAGGAATGCATTGAAATGCCTAAAGAACTTACGGTGATTTTGGAAAAAGCAATTTGGAGATCTGGTAAAGCCACCTAAGGACAACCAGAGTGAATGACAGGCAATAACAGAAAACCAGAATCCAAAAACAAGACTGACCCAAAGACAAAAGCTATAGACTAAACATGATCTACATAATCTACAAAGTGTAAAGCAAACCAATTAGCAGCGACAGACCACGACACTCCAGGCTGTGAGTTGTTACTGTGTCCTTTTGATGAGGGATCATCAAGATAAGGAGGAATACAACCCTGTTCCTCTAATTCTAAACACAGGGTGGCGGATCAATGTTAGCTTTTATCAGACAATGAACCTGGCAACATAACAATACTGGCCAGATTAAGGTCAAACTTTGTTATGGAGATGGTGCTTCAGTTTGTGTTATAAAAAAGTAATCTATTGATTGTTGGATCCCCTAATCATTTATCTCTCTACTGTTTCACAAAAAAAAATGCACAGGTCCATCTATGCAGTGTCATCCATTCAAAGGGGAGTTGTTGTCTCCTTTCATGCAGCCCACTGATATTTCCCAGGGAGCAAACTTTTGTTTTGTTGGGATTAAAATTCATTGCAGATTATATCTGCTCCAGCACTGCAGAACAATGTGGAGGTCCCCCCCGTCTCAGCGCAGTGAGCCGGCTGCCAACCCATTCTGATCACAGCCTGTGGCGTGCCATGAGCCCAATTAGAGAACGATCTATTGGAAGATCCAAAGCCGCGTATGTAAAATGGCGCAAATTACCTTGCGCTCTTTAAAGATGTGAGCAGTGGTGGTCAGACGGATGTTCTCTGACTGTGTGTTGGAAACTTATTTATCAGGACGCACGGCGAAAAACCACTCGATCATCACAGTTTAATTTCATATTGTGGAACAATATCTGCTGCTCTCAGGGCTTTTCAAAACCATCTCTGGAAAACTTTGTGAGTCAGCGGATAGCCAGTTTTTCCCCGGGAGCAGGACCTGATCTGTGAATGGACCTCAGAGCAGTCTGGAGTAACAATGCGGCTCCTGGATGAAAACCTTCATTGTGTTTGCTCCCCGTCTCGATGGAGTCCCGGCACAAAGTGGGTTTTGTCCCAGTGCCCGACCTCTCGTCTCTGTCAGAGAGACGGCCATTTATGCCACAAACAGGACCATGTTTCTGCTAAAAGATGGAGCTTCTCTGTTCAAAAATACACTTCATTGCATTTCACATGCTGTTTTATGCTAAACTAAGTTTGCTTTTTGCTTTCCTGACTGTATGTAGGACAGTGTCTGTTACGCCACTCATTTTTGTTATGATTCTTCACAATGAAAACCTACCCTTGTGGCTGGTAAATTTCAAAAGACTGAGTTGAAATACAGACGGATCATTTAATCCTCCTCATGCAGCCTGAAAAATTAAACAAAGAACCCAAAAACAATTTTTTATTGGTCACTGTACTATTTTGAATTAATGGAATAGAATCCTGTCTGCTTTACTCCATAATTAGTTTAGCAAAAACGCATACACCAAAACAACATTAGAAGGCAAAGAAAGGAAAAACAAAATGCTGCATAAGCTTTGCTTTGGATTGTCTCATAATCTAAAAACAGTCCGTTTACAAAACAGCCTGAAAGTGTGGTTTTTGGAGTTTGGTCAACTCATATCATCTTTCTCTTTCAGTAAAGTTTCTAAGGTTTCTAGTTGCCTTCATGAAAATGCAGATTTTCCAGGTTTGAATGTTTCAGGAGGACTATGGAGATTATGGATATTTCAAACTCAAAAAAAGTTGGGCTGCTGTGTGAAATCCTCATTTCAAACAGGATGCTGTGATATGCAAAGTGGGATCGTTTCTTTTTTTTTTCTATGCCCAAAATCTTTTTCACAGCAGAACTTGAGACATGAGACATTTTACTGTATTGTGAAAAACATTCCTTCAGTCTCAATTTGAAGAACACATTTTAAGAGGAACCACAAGGACGAAGATAAACAGACAACTCAGCGAGAAGACGTTAGTTCATTGGAAAAATAACATAATGGAATATAAAAGAGCACTTAAGGGAGGTAGAGTCTCACAAATAACACTGAGAAAAAAAGAAAGTAAAAAAGAAATTTCTATAGTAAAATTCAGCGTGGAAACATTAAAAACTTAAAACTTAAACTTAACAATTCAGAGAATCTGGAAACATCTATATCCTGAGGTGGGCTCGGCCTCCCACTACGTGCTGAAAGAACCGAAATTTGCTCTCCGCGTAGAAAAATTCTTCTGGTGCATCTGAACGCCGGAGGTCAGCCTCGGTTTAATCACGTTTTAAAAAGGAAAGGGTCAGGATCCTGACAGCTTGGGACGGGAGCGGGGCTGTTTTGTTCCCAGAGGCCTGCCCGGCTGCCACAGGTGGCTGTGGCCCCGCGGCCTCACGAGCCTCACGCCCCGGCCGGGGCCCGCGGGCCATGTGATAACATTTTTGTTGGAACTGCTCCGCGCTCTCCCACCCTCTGCAGCGCTGCATTATTTCCGAACCCGTGAGCTCAAACAATCTGTCTGCCTCGCTCGCTCAGCTGCGGCCCTTTGATGTCGGCGTGCTTGCGGTGGCGTTTGTGAGCCCCGGATCCACGCTTCCAGAAAAAAAAGGAGCAGAAAAAACCGGCCACTTCTCACTCCGGATGAATACGTGATGAAGAGAACCATAAGCAAACAGAAGAAAGAGGCTTTCACCACGGACGTTTTTTTGACTCCGACACCCATCCCGGGGTTACCTTCTCGGGGTGGGGTCCTTAAAAAAAAAAAGGTTGAAAGGGACCTGCTGCTGTTTTACGAGGCAACAAAACCAAACGCATTTGCTGACTGATTCATTACCGGAGGAAAGAAAAAAATGCCTCCTGGAGCCATCTGCCAAAAAACATGAGAAAGGAAAAACAAGAGGTAACCCAAGCCCACCAACACAGAGCGTTATTTACCCACCCTACCTGCGCAAACACGCAGATGCTAGCAGTGATGGATTAGGCCGGGGTTAGCCCAGTCAGGCAACACTGGGACAACAGGGTGAGTGCTTGTGGGTCAGGCAGATGTGGACGATGAAGTGATGAAAGTGAAGTCCAAGAGGGGGAGATTTCTCCCCCGACATGCCACAAAGGATTAAGTATCCGGTTTCTCCTGCTCCTCCTAATCTGGACCGGAGGGGACGATTGTCACTTTTCCAAAACAACTCATATCGATAGTGTTTGTGGCACCTCCAAAGCCATGTTAAGGCCGGGGATTAGAGCCAGGCACTTAGGGCAGGAGGGCCTGGATTAGGGATGCCATTGTGAATTCCTTTTGTGAATGTTCTCAGGGCATAATTTCAGGGTGAGAGGTTCACAATATTTAAGGAGAAACATCTCGCCCCCTCTGAGGACTGACGGTTGACGGGAGGGAGCCGTGGGTGGTCAGCGGCCCTTGAAGTGGCTGCGGGTGCGACAAAACCGGAGAGAAGAGAAGAAGAAGAAAAGAAAGAAGAAGGGGTTTGACTTGCCTCTCTTGCCGATGATGAAGAGGGTGCTGAGTTAGAGGGGATGGAGAGTCGTGTCTGGACGCAGGTGTGGACAGCGGCCGAGGCAGAGACGGATGGCGTCGGGCCTCAGTGACTTCTGTTTCACGCCGGGAAGAAAAAGGCCGCCATCTGTCAGTCTGTCAGTTTTTATCGCCAACCTGTCAGGCCTTTCTTGTTCTGATTCATCAATATTCGGAGAAACCACAAAGAACCTGTGGGAGAAAAATCTAACGTGTGATTAAGACAAGAGGAAACAAAGGCAGCAGCTTCTCTGGATGATTAACAGCCGACCGCCTCGTCCACGGAGGCTCGGGATGGCTTATTTCATTAATTATCCGCTGATAAGACGATGAATATGTGTTTGATGGCGTAAAGAATTTCGGCACGCTGCTGTTTGGCAGAATGAAATGAAACAAGATAGCCCAAATGATTTACCAGCATGACTCAGAAACAAGGGCAACCAGCTGAAGAATCCTCAAACCGAACAGAAATCCTCAGAGGAAAGAAAAACACGTGAGTCAATAAAGATGAGGATTAAATAAATCATACACATATATAAACACAAACAGGTGGATTATCGCTGTAAAGAAAGCATGCAATTGTAGTGTTTACTTTAAGAAGGTGAAAAGAGTCTGATTAAATACATAATCTCTCTTAAAAGAAATTAACTTTTCTTGACTTGTTGGTCTAAAATGAAAATGCCAGTTTAGTCCAAAAGTCCAAAGGATGAGCCCCATCAGGACCTTTTTTTTAAATAGCGAGTGTATAGACGAACCTGGAGATTCCCACACTGTTTAATAAAAGGCTGCAGGTATCTGTGCATTAGTTGGTTCCGCCTGCCTAATAAGCCTCATCATAAAGCGTCTCTTTAGGTTAAAACTCACCGAACGAAGCAGGACCCGGGGACACACTTGGGTTCAATAATGGTGGTTTTTATTGCAAACAAAAGAATAAACGACAACCTACCACCCGTTCATCTCTGATTCCTGTGAGATATCAATCACTCAAAGAACAACATACAAAATAATTGGTCACAAACTCTCCAGAACAAATAGAAAATGCAGTGAAAATAGGATCGCCGTCTACGCTATCGTCACACAGAGAGCCGCTCTGACGCTCGTAGGATAAACTAATACTCTGTGAAAATTACAGACCTCATACAAAAAATAAGATTTTTTTCCCCCAATAATAATAAAAAAGCCAGCATATTTACAGAACAATATTTTCTATGAAGCTGGCTAGCCTAAATTCCCAGTGAAACTTTGCTTTATTACAATTTTTCTCAGTAACCAACGTGTTACGTGTCCTTTTTGAAGTGTATAAGGCATGATAATCAACCTTTTGTCTAGTCTAGAGCTCTGATAACAGCAAATCTTAAATATGAAGATGGACAACATATCAAAAGGGCACACCTGTCCGTCTTTCTTCAGATATTAATACCCTTTACATTAATGTCTTCAGTAAGTGTCCGCTTTCAATGTTTCTGTGCATTGCTCAGCCCATTTAAGGCACCAGCTATTCAGTAGGGTATTCCAAAACAAACTGTACACAAACAACGACAACAGATAAGCCCACACTAATCCCATCCGTAATATATACACATATATAAACATTAATGATGGAGAAAAGAAAGAGAAAAAAAGGTGTCGCTGGCCACAAACAGCTGTCCGCAGCCCGTTTGTGAGTGGTCAGCGGACAAAGGACATTCATCACCGCAGCTCGTCTTGCTTTTATCGAACAGTCTTTCAAAATGAAGCTGAGCCTGATGAACAGATCATTTTTAAAGCAGGCGTTTGCAAGCAGAGACTTTAACAAATAAGAAACTGAATCTGTCAGCTCAGAGCGTAAAAAAAAAAATACAAAAAAACACGGCGTGCCGTTTATCAGAGTCCCAGCACGTCTGCTGCCAAGTGTGATGAGGATGGATGTAAAAGTTGATTAAAAAGCTGAAGCTCTGAGGAGAGGACTGCTCTTTGAACGTGGGCAGATGTGTGGTGGCCGGGTGTGTGCGGGCGACAACGACAGATTAAAGCAGTTTATTCTAAGACATGGAAACCTTTGACTGAGGCCATGGCACGAGAAAACGAGGGTGGAGAAGTGTACCCAAAAAAAAAAAACCTCAGAAATCTATAAAACCCCCAATAAGGATTGAGGCCTCAGCGTGGAGCCGGCCTCCTGCCCCAACCTAATACGCATAGAAGATGTTGTTCCTGGCGACAAACCCTGACTGACTGAAGGGGGGGACTCAAGGAGCCCAAAAAAAAGGTGGGGTACATTTCACCTTTCATACAAGACTGAGCAAAGGCCACTTTGATCCATGCATCCCTCCTGTGGAAACCAAACAAAGCACTAAGTGGAAAAGCGGGAGGTCAAATCAAGCAGGGAGAGATGAGATCACTGATGATGTCATCTCCTTTGTTTCAGCCTCATTCCTCTGGATTTGTTGTTTGGAGGGAAAGGGGAAAAACCTATGTACATATATCTATGCCTTGGGGAGCCATCACGCCGACATCTCTGGCCTACGCGGTTCAGACTGGAATTGAGTTTCTTCTTTCCATGACGGCTGCGTTTCCTCGGAGGAGCCAAACCCCAACGTGACAGCCGGCCTGAGGGGGTGACGTCAGCCAATCGCCCGCTCTCCAGCGTTAGGAGCAATAAGTCTTCAAACTGAAACAAAAGTTGCTGGAAGCTGCTCCCTGGCGTTAGCGGAGCGCCTAGGCGGTGGCGTGGAGAGACCGTCCCGTGGTTAGTGGGGGTAGATGGCCATAGCAGCTTCACTCACATCTGGTATTCATAACGCCTTACTTTGATCTCGTGTTAGCAAAAGCTATAATGACCTATTGGTGTCGGCCTAACAGACAGAAGTCGGAGTGTGCTGAAGAGGGAAAATGGGAAAATGCAGCCTGTTATCACTGTAAAGCCCAGAGAGCCCGAGCCTGGTGGGCTTTTTTATGTTTACTGACAACTGTAATGACAGGGCTGCGACTTTAAATGAATGAAAGCGACTGGATCAACACATTCTAATACAGATAATGGTGGATTTGGTTTAAGTTTTTTCTTTGGGGGGGGTTGAACATTTCCTGCTGCAGTAGCAGGTTTTATCTGAGGTTAAAACAGTCACTCATACTATTAGAATGCAGCCTGTTTGTCCAAACTTTGACTAAGAAACCTAATTTGGAGGAAAATAGAACAAAACTAAACTGCAGTCGGCATGACATTTAGATCATGGTTGCAGAGTTTTTTCATTTTTTTTTCATTTATAAAAGCAACCTGAGTTTGTGCACACAAAGAAACAGCCATCCTGGCTGAGAGCTCACTTCCTGCAGCCCCCCTGTGAAGCAGACCTGGAGAATTCAGAGATATGTGTAAAAATATGCACTTCTGAAGCTGAGAGGGGAGGAGCTTCCACTGGGAGGGCGACCCATAGGGGGCATGTTTACGGTTTCCCGACTGATGTGCGGGAGACACTGGGATTTGGAAAAAGCCGAGGAAGAAATGTACCGAAGTGTGGTTACATGAGGCAGTGTCTTTCTGCGATGAGTCCCATTAACCAGCTGGCTTTCCCTTGGTAAAATGCCCGTGCCATTCTCCCTTTTAATCTTGTGACTTTCCCTTTCACTTAATGATACTTTTGTATTTGTAAAGCATGCAATACAATTGGCTTTAAATACTGTCTGCAGCCATGATGAACATTTGACTTCTGTAAAACTGTTTAAAGCGATCGGGTGAGTCTTTTTTTGTTTCGGATGCCACAGACGCCACGAGCAGCAGGGCTCGGTGAGTCAAGGCTGTAAATTCCTTAAGTAAATGAGGGTCCGAACACCGGACCCGTCACCCATGAAAAAGACAGGTGCAAAGGCAAACGAGCAGAAAACAAAACCTCACTCACATCGGTTGTAACGCCGCCGTGCGCCATGGCAAACATGATAATATCAACTCATCTGTAGCTCTTAGAAACGCTACAAAAGTCTAATACAATCAACAAACACGTCCTTAAGGTTAAGTGGTCACAATCGGGGCTGAGCAGTATTGTTTAAACAGCTCATTCTGAAACTGAGCTAAGAAATTTCATTTATGCACTAGAAAGTGAAATGACACATCCTTTCGCCAAATATCTGTCTGTTTTTGACTTATTCTCAGTGAGTCACTTGTCCATTTCTTTCATTGCCACCCTTCCTCAAACATACCACTCTCTGCGTGAGATCACAGACCCATCCATGTGGGACACGTAGTCGCTGTCTGTACCATTGTCGAAGCAGTCCTCCGGGAGGTAGGGGGAGCCGTTGTTCACAATGGGGCTGTGCACGGGGGGCCCACAGGGGTGCATGTTTTGGCCGTTGTAATGATCTGGGTAGTAGTTTCCCTCCTTGAGACCCCTGTGGGCGTCCCCCCTGTCAGCCCAGTCGTCCCTCTCCTTCCGTTCGGGGGTGTAGTCGGGGTAAATGATGTCTCCGCCCAGTTTGGGTTTTAGCTCCTGGCTGCCTTTGCTCATTTTGTCCCCGTAGACCTCCTGCAGCTCGTGAGGCTGCAGCACGTCCAGCTGAGACTCCTTCTGCATGTCGGAGGGTCCCAGGTACTGCTTGGTGTAGTAGTCCCCCCTGAAGGTCCGGCGCTGGCGCATGAAGCAGGCCGCGCCCAGAATCAGCAGCAGGACCAGGAAGAGCACGCCGCCCACCGCCCCGCCCACGATGGTGCCCAGGCTGCTGTCCGGGACGGAGGCCAGGGTGGGGGAGGTGTGCAGGGCTCTGCGCTGGTCCACGGCCGTGCCGGTCCTGGCAGTGTCGTGGAGGAGGGACGCCGTGGTGCTGGGGGCCGCGGTGGTGGGGGGGGGATCTGCAGGGGCACGGAAACACACCAGATGGACACGGGAGTCAAAACTGTCCTGTAAAAACGGACCAATCCGTTGTTTCTAGATTCATTTAAAAACATTCGGAGAGCTGAGTTGGAGAGAGTTCAGATCTGCTGGAGGCCAGGAGAGCATGAAGGGGCAAACGAGAGGCAGACAGAGGTTAAAAATGTAAAATGTCAACGTGAGTGAGCATGATGAGACAGAAAGAGATAGGAGGACGTGCACTTCTGAGCATCTGAGGGAGTGTGATTAGCACTTGCCCTCCTTTTTCTAAACCCTGCTGTGGGGAAGTCATGTGAGAAGATGAAACACTGCATGATCGATGTGAGGTGCCTGCATCTGATTTGTCTCCCAGCGGCCGACTCTAGTGATAGCAGCCAGAGCTCAAGAGAAAAAAGAGCTGTGAGGAGCTCAAGGTCAGGCTAAGTGTCTCCATGTTGACCCACAGCCTCGGGGACTGGGAGCCTGATAACACCAGTCGATCCCTCCACCGTCACATCAAAAGCCTAATGACACAGCAGTGTGGGTTGCATTTAACAAATGGCTTGCATCACCAAGACGGTTTCAGGAAAAATCAAATTCCTTTAGAGCTGTAATGATTTCCACAATTGGGTGAGTAAGAATTTAATTACCTTAAATTATACAGTGCGTGTGAGCCCGGATGATGAAGAATACGCACGAGGCAAAAGCGTGAGAGAAGATAAGAGACACAGATAATGTCGGTCAGCTGATGTGCTTGCAGTCGTGCTCTTAATGTTCTGAGTAAACATTAATCCCACCCTGCAGCGGGACACTAACCTTATTTAGGTTCTAAGCATCTGAAATTATGGTGCTGATCATTTAAGAAAACAGCCCAAAAAAATCTTGTCGACACAACTGGGAATGTGTAACATCAACACCCAACAGCCATCGGGGGTGGGGGGGTGGGGTCATCACAGGGGAGACAGGCAAGAGGGTGCATGCCGAAGACTTAATATTTGACAAGAGGAGCAAGATAATTGCTCCGTGCAAGTCCGTCCCGGACAGGATGTGAGCGGTGTGGGGCTCCAGCAGCAGAGCTGTACACAGATGGAGCCTGACAGCCGGTTTTGGGACCCTTCCAGCTCTTCCCCTCTCCACAGTGAGAAACCAACAGTGTTGGAGGGATACATGTCCAAAAGCAGCACTTGCTTTGTTTGGGAAAGGATTAAAAGGAGTGGAGAAATGAAAATACACGGGGACGCAGCGTTCTCAGGATCCACGCCCCAGCTTTGCAATAATGAACTCGAGCAGTAAAAGCCAGACAGTCTGAGGTGGCAGACAGGAGCAGTTCACTTTACTGCCTGTTTTTAGATGGAAATGAATCAACAGCGTCGCATCCAAACCCCGGAGAAGTCGGGGTGATGAATCAGTGGTGCTTAATCTATGGGCTGCTGAATTAAGATGAGCAGTTTGTTCACATTTTGCGCAACACTGCAGTAAAGAGCACATTTTACTGCTGAGGAACATATTTTAGAGGGTATAAACACAGAAAAGTCACTGTACTGCAAATCTCTGAAAACTGTTACTAAATCTGCCTTGAAACCTTAACAAAGCAGAGAAAAAGGCTACATGGGTGCATACTTTGCTGAACCAGCAGGGTTAACAGCTTCTTTCTAATCAGTTATCTAATGTTGCCAAAACCACAGCACAGAAAAGCTTTGGTATTGATACTCTATGCTCCTCTGCTGCCAGGAACATGTGAAAGTGGATCTGGGCCGGGAAATGTATATTTATATGTGGGCTTATCTCTTCTACAAGTCTTAATCCGTGGCTTGATTTGCTCAGAAAATAATCTTACAAGAGAAGGACTTCATCATTTTTTTGTGTAGATTTTACAGATGGTAAAAATCGAGCCAAACTTGTTTTTCTTCTTAAAAACAGGCCTTAAGTACCTTGTACCGTGAAGGTCACATCCTGACTGCGGAGTCCAATGTCGTTCGTGGCCTCACAGCGATAGATTGCAGAATCATTGCGCTCGAGCGGGCGACTGAAAGCCAGGGTATTGTTTGAGATCACCACACCCTGAGGCATTAACCCACCCAACCTGAACAGAAACGAGATATGACAGATATTAGTGGACAAAATGTAACAGATCAATCTGTAACAGAGAAAGTAAAAAGTTATGTGGTATGTGATTGTAAAACAATCCATAACTTGTGAGGACATTACTGCTCTGCTGGCGCCATTATTTTACCATTTGATTCATAATCTGAGCTATTTTCTAGCAGTTAAGACAGAAAAGGTTTACACCTAAAAATGTGGTCTGTGTGACAACGGCAGAAACAAAAATGAAAACAAAGGTCAGACTTTACTGGTCCCGTCAGACCAAATAACTATGTCTTGTTTTTAAAGCGGGATGATGACAAAAAGCTACCATGGACCACTGTTGCTCTGTTGCAGAAACTATTTGGAATCTTTTATTTATAGCAAGGAGTCTTCCCAAATGGTGCTGCAGCGCATTCAACATCTCCAGTGTCCAGGCTCCAAACTTATACTCGAGGTAATTTATAGACACTGCTGCTCCATTTAAATGTTAAATGTTGAACCCAGTTTAGATCAAACTGTCATTTTATATTTTCTAATATTAGTTACTCTAATATGTTCCTTTTGCTGTGTTAATAACAAACAGGAGAACATTTAAATAGAGCCATCATGACTCTTTTAGGCTTCATTCGTAATACTGGCATAAATTGTTTTAACAGCCAGCAAAGTTTAACTACCAGCAATATTTTCAGACAGCTTTCATTGCCCTCAGGTCCAAGTGGGATTTATAATTAACGCATGATTCTGCAATAGCTTCTTCACCCACGTGGATCATATTACACAACATAAAACAATGACTTCAGGACAAACATAACACAACAGTTTTTACAGTGTCTGAAGGATATGTGAATTTAGAGGTACTTAAAATGAACTGCCTCCCAGAATCTCTGTTCGATTTCAGCAACATAATTTCAAAACTAAGACATCTGGCAAAGGTTTAACTTCTTCCACTGAATGAATTGTTTCAGTAGTTTTCTTGTATTACAAGTCAAATTTAATCCATAAGATGCATAAACTAAGAGAATGAACGTTTGGCAATGTGTTTGATGATCGTCATCGTTTGGTAGAAAGATGAGACGATGCAGGAAAGTCCACAAATGCTGAGGTGACAGTTTTGGATTCAGCCTTTAGCAAAATCAACAAAGAACTTTTTTTGGAACAAGAAAAATTTGTAAACTGCATGTAAGCATGTGAGTCCAACCACAGTACACAAACCGTAAGTTCTAAAGACATGACTAACACCCAGATAACACAAAAAGGGATCCGCTTATAACCAGAGTCAAACAGTCCACTCATTTCAAAGTTTAAACTTGCTTTCATCTTTTTTGCAACACTAAAACAAAAGTGTATGTCACCAAGTCTGAATTCCAATAAATCTCAGTCATATATTTTACTGTTGTAACAGAAAATAAGAGTAATCAGACTACATTTCCAGTCGCTCTGCTCTAATAAAATCCGGATTTTATGACCACACTATAAGGAGAAAAAAAAATCACCTTTCAAGTAGCTTAAAGACAACCTATGTGCAGTTTATTCAGCCATAGAGAACTGATGGTGGGACTTAAAATGCCTGCATGTAACCGTAGTGAAGGACTGCTGGGTGTTGGGGTTACTGACCTGCTCCATGTGAAGTGGCGGACAGGAGGGTTGGCTTTGGCACCACAGGTGAATATCACATTCACCTGACCCACATACCAATTTCTGCCACCTCCTTCGATTGATACCACTGGTGCAACTGTAAAACAAAGATAGGAGTTTAGGATCCAAATGCACCCACATGGCAAAGAACACCATTTTCAGAAGAATTTTTTTTGGCAGCAAAAGGAAGTGGCTAATTTTTCACTAACCGCGCACACAATAGCACAAAATGCATCTGTACGCCTAACGCCAACTCAGCACAGACATGTGACACAGTTTCACTGCTTGAGGTAAAGACTCATGTCTTATTGTTATAAAAAATATATGTATTTATAAATATATATATGTTTTTTTATTCTACAATATTTTCTAATCTACTGTATTTGTTCTGATTCTTTTTCCTTAAAGGCAGCTGGCGACTGGAAACACTTTTACAACTGTGGTGCTGTCCAGGTAAAAATGTGTATCTCCAAAAGCAAAAACAATGTTGTGAGTTCTGAGAAGTAGTGGTGCGGTTCTTTTGTTGCGGCATAAAAACCGCTAATATTAAAACGGTCTCTGTGGATAAGGTGCATGCTCTGGGGCTGCGGCGCAGTGCCTGGAGGATTAACTATAAAAAGGAAATGCTACCCTTCATTCACCTTTAAAGTTTTTGTGTCTTACCTCCCACAACATGAGCTCTGTTCTACTTTTTTCTCCAGCAAATATAAGACTTCCTGATAAGTCACTTTGTTCCAGCAGCCTGGTGACAAATTAACGTCTCCACGTGGAACAAAGCACGTACTGTAAGCAGAGTGGCCAACAATGACAAAAACAAGGCTGCGCGGGACAGTAGCCTGGTACAGGATCCGCTGGTCTAATCGAGCCGGGACAACAAACAAATGAGCCTGTGTTGGTGGGATGTCAGAAAATGACAGACTCATTCGGGCAGTAGATGAACTGCAGCTAATAATAAACTCTACCTGCCACACCGAGACAAAAAAATATCCACAAAAAAAACAGAAAAAAAACAAAGCATGCTACGCGCCACTGTAATAAAACATGGCAAACAGTGACTCATATCAAATTTTTCATTTTGATTTCTCTTGAGGACAAATGAGGAACTCATTACTGCACACAGGAAGATGCCTCGCCTCACAGCGTTCACTGACCTGTTTCATACAGTTCAATGTTAAAATTGTGCTTCTTTCGCACTTAAAATCCCCTGCCTCTGCGTTTGACATGATTTATTGAACTAGAGAGCCTCTTTCTTCCTCTATTAACCCTGTTTTTGTGTGTCTCCATCCGTTGCCCGCAGTAGCCTCCTGCTGCTGTGTGTTGCTGTTAAGGCCTGATCAATATGTCATAAAATACCTTCATTAGCCCACAATGGCAAAAAACAGACTAACATATTGCTTGCTAAGTAAGTATCCATCAGTTCTTATGATGTTCAGATGACTCTTAAATGGCCCCTTCATGATGAAAGGAGAAAAAGGCAGTGAGCTAGCTATTTAGAAATCAACTAAGCTAGATGGGCTGATATAAAAACATCTACTGTTACATCTAAGTTTTCAAAATGAATAATCCTTGTTTTGTTATATATTTACATCCATACAATTCGAGGTATAATTTATTATTTATGATAACATTCCTCCCTGATGAAAGACAATTGAAAGGGGTCTTTCAGATTAGCACTTACACTGAACATTTAGCGTGTAGGGTATGCGGAACTCTGTCTGTAGGGCTAGGTGGCGCACCACGCAGGTGAGGATCTTCCCCTGGGCGTAGCTCTGAGGCTTCCACATGTAGTGCACATGTACGGAGGTGGTGCCGTTGGACTCATCCTGACTCTGCTTCTCAGATCGCCCGTACAGCTCCGTGTCCCAGAAAACCTCGGCAGCGGGGCGCCCGCGCTCTGCTATGCAGGTGGCCACCAGGGACTCGTTCCCCCCATCCAACAGAGCGGTCGGGCCCGCTGACACGTACACCTTTGGCTCCACTGGTTATAGGAGAGCACAGAAGAGGAAAAGGGAGGAGGAGGGGGGGTTATTACAGAGTAGAGAAAAGATGACAAAATGTATATTGATCTTTTTGTGTATATGTATGAATTAATAATGTCCAGGGGCCTCAGTATACTTAACTGACAAAAGAGCACAAATTGACTGCTTTCATTTCACCTAAAGGTATTAAAAATGTATGGACTATTCTATAGAGTCATGTGGGACATTTTCAGTGGACTCTTATGTACTGTTTGGGTCAAAAAGATATGTGCATGAAAAAAGGTAAAACAGCAGCAGCACTATTGGTCTCACTATGGTTTCAGTAATGCACTGGAGAAAAGAGAAAATTAAATATCAAGAAGAATCTGACTTTGCAGCCAGCTTTTTTCCTGTGTTTATGTTTGACTTTGTTGTACTGTAAGACCAAGAGTCAGGTCGTTTTACAATTCTCAGCGCCTCGGAGCCGGGGTAACGTTTCACCGGCGAACGACTGGAGGTTTAGCCGAAACAAGGATTTTCTCAACAGAGAAGCAAAACAGATCTATGCAATTCATTCATGAAGTGTGAATAGCTAAATCCAACCCCTACCTGTTGGGACATGGACTGAAAAACCAAACACTGGGGACTGAGCGAGACAAGCTACAAACTAAGACTACTTTAGTTCACTTTTGTCTTGATTTTTTTCTTTGTTTTGCAATGCACCAACCCATCCATCTCTATATTATAAGGAAAAAATGTCCCAATAATGACAGTTATCAAGGGGAGCATTTAGGTACAAGGCAATCATCTCAAGGCATCTCCTGTTTTCCTTCTCTTCAGCCATGCGGGAGGGTCCAACAACACATTTGAATAACTACTGGAGCCCCTTTTTCTAAAAATAACCCACCATCCCATGTACCCTTTACAGGGGCGTGGTCATCATACTCAGCGCTCCACCTCACATTCTTCACCCAGTTCTCTGCCCCTCCCTGCAGGGCTTTTCCAGACAGTAGCTAGTCTATGCTGGGAGCCGAGCCGACTCAAAAATCAGAAAAAATAAATCAGATGGACGTGTTAATTTAGAGTTGCAGTAGAAAAGGGAGGGGAACTGTTTGGATGGGTGGAAATGTGTGAGGAGGAAATGGGTAACGATTTCCTTTCAGCAAACTGGCTGCATTGGCCCTTTATGGTCCACATACAAGCCGAGTCACGGACCTACACAGAATACTGACAACAGCGAGAAATTCTCTGCAGAAAATTACTTAACTGGATATTCTGTTGTCATGAATCACTTTTGGATTTTGCATTGCATTTTGCATCAAACCGCAAAAGGAAGATCAGTCTATTTGTTCAAGTGGTAGGTTTGGTGTCTGTCATAGAATGGAGTAAATGATTTCAAGCAACAACAAAAAAAGAGGAAGAGGAAGCATTTAATTAGATAACAAAAACTTCTGCTTCGTGTGAAAAACTGACCAAACAGAATTGGGTGCAAGTAAATCTATGGCAACTTCAAAGCAAATAATGCTATGTGACTAATATTCACCACGTGGGAAAGTCCACCATTTCTAAGACTGGAAGCAGAAATGAAACCCTGAAATTCAACAAATTTTAGGTCTTAAAAGCTCATCTGTATGGGGCTCATCACCACCGTCAAAAACTGCAAATACAGAAAAAGGGCTTGACCTGTAGTGATCATATCAACAATTTGGAGCTTTCAGCCAATGAAGGAGCTTTTTATCAGTACCATCAACTGTTTTTTAAGTAAGTCATTTGTTATTTCCAGTAGATTTCCATGACCTGTCAGCAGTTGAAAACAAAAGGTCATTGTAACTCGTTCACCTTGGGTAATAGTTTCTTCCTCTGGTTCCTTCCCTCTGCTTACATGTGAGGGCTTTTAATTCACACGGCTACTGGTACACAGTTCCTGCTAAATTGTTTCTTAAATGTTTGAGCCTTTCCTGTGAGCTGCTCTTGTTGACAAAGGTCCAAAGAAAGAGAGTCTGTATGGTTATATACAGCCTCTATAAACACTGTCTTTGTGCTTCATGATACTGTTCAAATTTCCAAATATAAGTATAAAAAAAATGATCTTTGAAACTATGCCAATGATCATGGCACCTGTTAATGTTTACAATGTGAGTTGTGACTTTGGTTTATTTTTCACATGCTACGGTGTTCAATGTTTTACTTTTCAGTTGGTTTTAACTGGAATGAAACGCGGTCATGTGCTTTCCATTATCTTCAAAGAATAAACTTCAGTCAAATTAAAACATCTTAACTTGAGATCATAAAGAAGAAAATAAGTTAAAAAGGGAGCAATGGCACGCTGTGAATCTAATGTTTATTTTTTTTCAACCGGTTGCTAATCTAATTTAATTGAATTTGAGTTGTAATGATTTCAAATTTCACTGCTGGACCTTTTTTCAATTTGTGAAATGATCTGTTTAGGTTACTGTTTCTTAGAAACCTTTGAGGATGCATTCAGAATGAGCTGACATTGCGAAATGTTTGGCAGTATAGGAGTGGTGTCACCCCGTTGATCTTTTATAGGCATATAAAGCGGTAGGATGCACAGAGGAAGAGGGGAAAACACCTAAGCATGAGATGACTGAATTAAAATATTTTCCACATAAAGGCAAAATGCTGGGGGACTCCTCGAGGATCTAGTGGCTGGGTCGAGTCACAGTACACACCTCTTTATGGTTTAACAAAAAGGAAAAACGGTCTTGTTACAAGATATGGAGGCTATTTGGAAGCAAACCTTTTGAGAATAACTCTTGGAATCGCTTAACACACAGACCCTGTGGTACATGATGTCTATCAGAGGGCTGAAAATCCATATTTTGAGACACTCCCTAATTACATCTGAATTGTGAAGAGGGTGTTTTTTATATATATATGGGTGTGCATGTGTTAGCACGAGCCAAAGAAAAAAAAAAAAAGAAAACGACACAGAAACTGTTGAGAGAAGACAGTGAGGTGTAACTGAACTCTGTGAGGTCCCAGACACTGTGGCTGTTGCAGCAGCACTTAATGTACCACTCATTAGACATCAGAGTCTCCTCCTGTCTCTGGAGGAAGACAAGAGGCTGCTGTCTACAGTGCAATCTCTTACTCGCAGCGCTGGTTCCCATTTAGAGCCTAAAACATATGCTGATCATGGAGAAATCTCCTCACACTCAGAGAAAATGCCTCATTATGTCCTTAGAGTGGCTAATTGCTAAGCACACATTAGTGCATGACTAAGTGTGGGTCACACAAAGACTCACTGTCAAAAAGTTATAGTCTTCTGCTAATCATAGGGTCAGAACAGCAGCTCCTGTAGCAGCTCGTCTTTTTCACATTCTTCATTAGGGATGGAAAATGACACAATTACACATTGCACATCATTTAAAGGCAGTAATAAAAAAGAATGATTATCCAATTTGGAATTTCTGGTGAACTATTTGAGGACAAGCTCATATTCTACCAATTGAAATATCCATTAGAGATAATGTCATTTTGTTATACATTTTGCAAATTACTGATTTAGTAATAAAAGATAAGAAAAATACTGATCAATCGTGAGGAAAAAGATACAGACTTAAAAGAACTTAAAGCCATTTCTACAACTGAAACTTTTTCAAACAATTTGGAAATGTTCTGATATTCCCTCTGTATCACACGCTGCAATTATATTGATGTTGCAGAACAAATACGTTACATGAAGCTGGGACTGTTTGAACATTTTGGATTTAGTTCACAAGACATAGAAGACCTGATGGAATCCCATTCAAACATTTCTGAAAACTACTGATAACATTTCGCTAAATTAAAAACCTGTCAAGTCCAGTTTCAATGTCATTTTGTAATGACTAAGTGAGGGGGAGCACACCACAGCAGCCTCTCTACCTCTGCAGACTCCTGCAGGGATGTGGCATCTTTCCAGATTGTTGTTTAAATGTTAGGTGGCTTCAGGGAGCAGTTTGTTTCTCCCGAGCAACACTTAGTGGCCACTTAAGCTTTGCTTAATCACAACAAACAATGCCCTGCTTTGTAAAGTGAGATTTAAGGGCAATATGACCGACGACTCGGTGAGTATAGAAGAGATCAAATTTCTACTTTACCTAGTACATTAACAAAGGTTGAAGCTTGTGTATTGCCCAGGGGAAATGTTGCCACTTTGCAGGTGTAGGACCCGATATCTGCGAATCCGGCTCCTTCAAGGGTAATGGTGGCGTCTCGTATTGAAGGGGAAACAAATGAGATACGCTTGCCGTAATCCGGCGAGTATGACGTCCCGTACTCGGGATTGAACACTGCCAGGGTAATGGTGCCTGACGGGAGACGCCGCTCCCAGGAGCTCTGTGTGAGGCTGAGGTTGGAGCCCACTTCTATTCTGCAGCCAAGTGTGATGTTCTTTCCCAGCACTGCGTTCACTCTGTCAGGAACCACCACCTGGTTACTGCTCACACCTGCTGGGAGAAGAGGACAAAGACCAGACTCAGACGATTAAGGGGAAAAAAAGTGCACCATCATTGTTGCTGCTGAAATTAAACTGGAAAATGTAAGGACTCGTGTTTTAGTGCAGATGATACAGAGATTATTTTTCAATTCTCCAGTGAGAAGCAGTGGAAGCAAACTGAGGAGCAAGAGAAATGATACGATTTTCTTTCTTGTGCACTGCGGCAAATTGAACAACAAAGACTAAGAGGGGAAAAAAACTCATCCGAGAAGGAGAGGAATGGAGTAAATGTTTGGACACAGGACATTAACATAGACTGTGTATTGCAGCTACCTGTAAAGAGAGACTATTAACTCATACCAAGAATGCTCGGTACTTCCCTTGGTAACAGCAGCCGTCGTTTGTTACTTTCTTTTTTCTCTGAGGTGGGAAAAATAACAAATTTCCTCTGGGTAACTGTGTGTTCCGCTTTTTTTTCTTAATAAGCAACACATTCTCACCACAGGACACCCAGACGGTTCCTCTAGCTAATTATCAGAGTGCCTTTTAAACTAAAAAGAAAAAACATCTCTGGAAGCAGATTAAACAAAATAATCAGCTTGATGGGCTTTAACCCTGCTTTTTATGAGGGCCCTAATTTGACTAAAGACCCCACCGTAGTTTTTTTTTTATGTCTTACAACATGAGGCTTTGAACATGACTGGCCATTTCGTGGCCTAAGCATGAGCTGTATGACAGAAGAAAAAAAAGATACTATGGTTACAGAAGAAGTAAAGTAAGATAAAATCCCTCTGAAAGTCGAATGATGGGACCGTCATTTGTAAAACTGGGTAAATAGGAAAACAAAATACATCACAACCCGTTTTAACTTCTGTTATTCTTACAATGACACGAAAAAACCCACTAGAATTAGATTTCTGTGTGTCGGAGGCGCAGCAGTAAGCACTGACGAGAGCGCTGACTGAATCAAATCACAACAACGACCAGGAGCAGGTCACATGACTCCCAGTAATCCAAACATCCCCGCTGACAGGCGCGCTACGCGGTTGAAGCACAACAAACACAAACGTCCAGCTCGGTGTGAGAAAATGCCCTATCTCGAAAAACTAACCTGAAATAAATCCTAAATTGCAGGTTGCAGCTCCTGCTCCCAACGAAAATAAAAATCTTTCCAAGGCTGTTTTGGTTGACTTCTTTTACACGCCAGGAAATCATTGATAGAAAGACAAATGCTTCTTTTGAGAAAAAAGCTGTCCCAGGATTCTACACACTGGTCCAGACTGACTTTCACAGTAGATACATCTAAAGCTTTATGACCGAATGTTTCCTTTTTGGAAAAAAAAAACAAATGTTGATTCCATTCAGAGTATTCAAACAGTAAAGCTCAGTTTTCTGGACATGGCTGCAGTCAGACTAAGCTAAATTTGGGAGCCATAAATTTCCACTTCGCACAGGCTCTCGGATATGTATGGAGTAAAGCTTATAAAAGTGGTTCACTGACTGGTATTTCAAGTCTTTGGCACGAAAGTGAGTGGTAAGCCACAGCAATGCTATCATGGTTTGTGAGCAATATAGCCGAGGAGGCCGGAGCTCCCTGTGCTCCATTACGTCCCCTGTAATTTCAGTGATTACACACACATACGTGTACACTCACACAAACACACGCTGAATTTCTCTCCTCTAAAATGCAAAAAAAAAAAAAAAAGTGCATGGCCATGTGGGGAAGAGTCGAACCTTCTGTTTGGATTGCTGCTCGAGCTTAAGTATGGGAACTTTCATGCTCAAATCTAAAATTTGGCTTCTCCTGTTTGTTTTCTTTTTTCCTGCATGTGCACGTTTTCAAAGCATTTTACCCCATGATTTTTTGCTGCTGACAAATTAAGCCAATAACACATTACCATTAACACATTAAGCTCAACTTTCCTTATTTCATATCCACTTGAAAGGACAGCTGGAAAAAACGGTTACCACCTAACAATTAGAATTTTGACAACCATTTGCTTCTTTTTTAACCTCTGGTTCATGGCCTGGTCTTTAAAAAGCTGATGGCTCTCCGGTGTGCACGGCAGTGCATGTGTTGCCCCGTGTTTGCATTGCGTCCTCCGGGTGCATTAGTGTGGGGGAGAATCAGGGTCAGGGCCGCATGGATTTTGCGTTCTTCATGTGAGCTGACGTGACAGCTGTTTGCTGTCACGCTGCTTCTGCAACTTGGTTGTTTTTTTGGTTTAAAAGAAAATAAAAATACGATGAAACTACACCACGAAGAGGGGATCTACACAGCGATGTAAAGATTTACGGTCCGTCTGTAACCTGCACGGGGGCATTTGGGACTGTGTGAGGAACACGCTCCGGCGCAGGTCGCCTCAGTAGGACCCCAACATGGCTGGCATGCATGACATCGCATTGATGTTTGCAGACGTGTGTCTTAGGCCAGACCTCTCGTCAACATGCTCCGCATACTGAAGCTACCTGACACGCTGTCCCAACTGCCACCGTGCGTCGTGTGTCTGTCTCGGTGTGTCAGCTTTCAGGCCCCTCAAAGCATACAAAGAAACGAGACTCCGTCCATGCGACGTCCTGTTTGTTTTACTGTAAAAGCATTTGGAAATAAGGAGGCGAAGAGGGAGAGAAAGAGAGGGAGGGGGGTGTTTAAAGAGGACTCCACCCTTACCATTGCAGGCAGGGTGGGGTGGGGGGGGACAGATGGCCTCTGCATGGGATACCTACAACTAGGAGGAGAGTGGGGAAACTTGGCACTGGGAGCTGTGAGCGTGAAGAACACAGCCAGGCCCCGAGAACTAGAACACCGTGACATATTATCTAAAATACTGCAGGCAAATGAAATATAAGCAGGGCGTAAAACAAAGCTGTCCTGCAGCTTCATCAGAGGAACAGCCGTAATGCTGCACAGCTGACACAGAGCTGAAGAGTGTCCCTGGATTTGTAACTGGTTTGTAACTGGTTTCCAGCCCACCCATCGAACAGAAAGTTTTTAATCTAAAATTGAAACATGAAAACAAAAATTTGTTGGCCATCATAATGTCACTTTTGATGATTATCCTGTAGAAAAGGAAGAACCCAAATCTAAAAAACTGAAATCTGATATGAGTAACATAAAATAGGCTGCACTTTTGCCCCCTTTTCAGTGAGAAACACAAGGAAAGAATGAACTCATGGGAAGGAAATGCTTGCTCTTTGAAGAAATGTTTCATATTTGTTTCTTTCCCTCCTGACATCACTAATTGCGACAAGCTGCTCACAAGACGCAATGCTAAATCAAAACCTTCTTTTCTGCCTGGCAACCGGCTCAAACATTCCACATTGGCCACTTGATGAGCCAAAATCTCCACCTACCCAGACCTGACCCAGCTTTGGCCCTGACCTCCCCAGGAGAGGCCGTCTCCTGGCTTAGGATCCTCCCAACAAAGCCTACAGTGCCTGTCAGGGCCGTGAGACACAAGAGACACCACGGCCAGAAACATTAACAAGCAGTAACAAAATAGACAATATGTCATGTTCATGTAGACAAACTCCATGCATAGATTATCATGTCAAACAGCACTCAAGAGGGACTGATCTGAAGACCTCACAGGAGAAGAATGCAGACATGAGATGTGTGCAGGACGCGGTGTGGTTTACTAAAGCGAGAGGAAAGAGAGTTTAGCAGAGGACGAACAGTGAGACAAAGCAAAAAAACAGGGCTCCTAAAAAGAAATGAGCTGGCAAATTTAAACATCCAGTCAGACTACAAAATGCTGGGGATTGTTTTTGTTTCTGCAACATGGCATCTGTAGGAGAGGAGAAATGTACCTTTCAGTAAAGACTCAATTCTATAGTGTGAAATGATTTGAGTGAATTTAAGTCCAACACAACTGGATTTAACAGACCAAACTGGGAAGGACATCTAAGTATGACATTATCTGGGTTTCCACTCATTTGGAAAGCAGCTTTTTAGAAACTCTAGGAAAGACATGTGAATTCAACAAGTTTCCATTCAATGGTCTCAAGTAAAAACACTACTCCGTGTAGTGATTTGGTCACAGTGGTTGTAATTCAGTAAAAAGTAGAAGTTCTAAGAGGAAGCAAACCTCAAAGAGGAAAATTCAACAACTTCTGCGGTGGACACCCACAGCAGGATGGATTTGCTGATCAGGAATTATTTTCATCTTTCCTCACCTCTCTTTTGAGTTGTGCCGGGCATTGGAAATAGTAAAGAGACCCCAGGACCGATCCAGAACCCAACAGAAGGATTGTGTATCTCCTTTGGCATAGGATTGCCTCTGAATCTCTCAGGGGGAGTTGGGACATAACCAGGGAAAGCAGAGTCTGGGTTTCCTTTCTAGATCCGCTGTATGATTTTGGCTCAAGCATAATAAAATGGTTGGATCGATCTGGGAACATCATCATGTCATCTCATATCTGGGAAGATCCTGCTCAGTAACAAGTTCATTGTTGGACTCTGGAAACAGGTCACAATCTGAAGTGTTACTTCCATTCCCCTCATGAGTGTCGAGCCTTGTTCCACACAGACAAAACACAAACTTCAAGGAAAGATAAGATAACACTAAAGAGGTTTGTCTGAGTGAATGGATAAAGTATTTGTGCACTTTGACTTAGCAAAAGGTGAGTTGTTTGTGCAGGTCATCTCCTCTTAAGTCCGCCATCTCTTCCCTTCAGTGATTTTCAAGTGTGTGCGGGAGGCAGGTTGAAGGGCAGGGTCTCATTACACTTTAATGAGCATAGTAATGCATACTCCTTACAGGCTCTGAAGGCCCACAGACTACAGTACAGTAAGCAAACGGATATGCTGGCTGACTATTAAAATTCTGTGTGATTAGCAAGGTCATATTCACTTTTTTTTTTTTAAAAGGCCCAAGCAATCTGTCTCATACAAAGCAACAGACATGAGACAGATCAACACTCAACGCATAATAAAAAGTAAGATGTATGGACAGAGTGGTGCGCTAACTAGTGGTGTCTCGCTTGCTGAAGCTCAAATGACCACTTAACAAATCCAAGGCGTCTGACAACAAAAGAACAAAAAACAGAAAAGCAAACACAAAGGACAAGAACAAAAAAAGTGGCAGAAAAGGGAAAAATTGCAATTTCACTGTGGAATTGTATAACTTGCATCTAAATTGGACTCTTTAATGTCAGCAAAAGCAACGAGGTCAGCGGACAGAGTAAAGCCATTTGTTTGGCATTGTTGGCCTCAAGAGTTGGGGGTCAGGCGACATCCCGCAAAGACTTAACGCCTAACAAAGAGCCCGTAGACATTTGCTCTATTTCTGCACAGCCTATAGCTCTGTCTTAATCCGTCAGAAACAGGATAAGTCAAGTGGTGAATTGCACATTTTATAGCATGCCTTTATTGTAAGAAATATTTGTGCAGACCAGCTCTAATCTACCCCCTTCCTTCCTAGCATTGTATCCTGTGAGGGTGTGAGGCTTTTTTAGTGGGCTAATTGATGGTGGAGACAAACACAGGCTGACAGGCCTGAAATGGGGGAGAGGCAGGCCTCTTTTACATGTCACTGTCCTCTTAAAAACCCTTTCTCTGCACTCCCCCATTGTGATGTGGACTGGTGCGCCCTCATCTTAGTCACATTTGATTAAAACATCAGTGCTTTAAAGAAAAACGTCAATAATGTTGACACAGCCAGTGTCGTGAGTGGTTGCAACCTCATCAGAGGCAACTGTAGCCGGGCTCGAGGACTCCTCAAGGACAATGTCTGCCACTGTGTACAAAAGCAACACAAACATTCCTCCAGAATCCGGTCCTGTTGTGTGGGATTTGTTATTGTTTGTTGTGGGAGGGTGTGGAATTTAAGTAGGTGTCACAATGCTATAGACTCAAAGACGGGCCGCAGTGTTGTTTCAATACGAAGGCAAAATGTGCTATAACAGCAAGAAGAATGCATCATCAGGATATTCACAGAAATCAAGGAGAAGTCTAAAACTCACTGTTCTCAATGATTTCTTAAAGAGGAAAAGATAGATTCATTGTATATAGAACACCTAAACATGTGCGCTTTGATCTGAGCATTTTTTACCTAATACGACAAAAATATTGGTCTTAATAATTTTTTTAATTATTTCAGCATGAAGGAAGACATAAATACTGCATTTTGAACAGATGTTATTTCATGGTGTTGATCATATCTGTCACTTTTGAGCTCTGAAAAGCTGAACTTCCTCTTTTCAGTGCTTTTGTTGTGCAAGATTAATAGTTTTATTTAAGGAAAAGGCTCCAAGAACCTCCTCTACTCTTGCCAATACCAATATTAATGTTGAGACAGCCTACAACATAAAGCAGCAGTGTTTATCCACACAAGACAACATCAATATATTGGAGATCTAACTTAAACACTCAAGCCTTCAATGGGCAGAGGAGGGTGTTTTCATTAAATTTTTCTCAGATGTAACAAAATGCGTTTCCCTTTATAGGATGAAATGAAACCCAACCCGAATGTCACACAGGCAGAAAGAGATGCCCGGCTGCTTCACAGAAGGTGTCACACAACCAGCACCCGTTCTGTGTTTTCCAACACTTTATGCTGTTCTGTATGGCAACTGTAACCACACAGGCTTCTTTCAAAACCAAATATCATTTTTCTACTAAAGCTGTTTTTCAAGTCCAAGTAATAATGATTTAAATAATCACAATTGTTCAATCATTTAAAAAAAATAATAATAATAAAAAAAAACTGAGATTGCACAAACATTTACAATTAGAAGGTGAACATTTGTGATTTGTAAAAAACAAAAACAAAAATTGACCTTGATTAAAACAAATATTATTTCAATTGCGTTAAGCTATTTTTCCCATTTCAAATACAGAGGCTGAAAAAATAATCACATGTTGAACATTGTTGCATCATTCTGACTTCGTTTTTTCAGTTTATTTAAGATTATTTAAGAAATAGAATTCCCAAATTAACAACATTCTTCATCAGTCAAGTTCCAATTTGCAAAAAACAGACCAGTTTAGCAGCTTCCCACCTTATATGTGGGATTTTCTTTTTATTGCACTCCAGAGTGTCACCCAGATTATAGACCTTTCTAAAAAATTTCTTTGCACCATGATAAAATCACCAAACTTATGTTAAAGCTGGTGGAAAAAGACAACTGTTGGACGTTTGGATGTCCGCCTGTGCATTGTGGTTAATTGCTGCCATGTCCCAATGTGCTGCAGCTGGCATCAAACCCATATCTTCCATCTTTCCTTTAGGCAGTAACCATGATATGTTTGATTGGACCTGCTCCAAACAAGAAGTCCAACATCTTTTCCCCGCCACATGCGTTCTGTTGATTCATCCCCCACAGCCCACAGGAACCTTGTATTCTTCTGTTTATGTGTTAGTGACAATTCCTGTTTGACTTATCTGGATGTAACTCCCACATCCTTCACAAACATTGGCCCATTTTTCCCAATTTGTTTTACATTTGTTTTGCTGGACATTTTCCATTCTGTTATATGGCTTTTTAGATTATTGCTGGGAGTCATATTAATAATTTATTAGAAATATTAACAAAAACAGAAAATAATCATTAATGTCATGTTGTAAAACCTCTATGTGAACATCACAACCATCTTATTCTCAAATGTGATCCCAGCAATGACCACCGACATGCACAAAGACGGACAAGACTGAAGAGCCTCCATGTACAGTAGCTTCAGACACATTGTTTCCACTGTATTTATATATCTTTGTACCCGTAAGCTGCTTCTGTGCGGTCTACACAGAGAGGAGAAAGGGTTCTGTACCGAGCACAGACTCCACTTGTCATTGTCTGAGTCTAAAAGAGCTACTGTACTTTCATTAGGCTGATCTAATACAATACAAACATAGTTTCCCACATGCTACAGGGACCCCAGAGGGAGTTTAAGTGTTTTCCTTTAAAATTATTCACATGATTGTCCAATTTTAGATTTCTAGCGTTCCGCCCTTTCTGCCAACAATCAAAACAACATGTCTTGTGCTTGGTAATAGATCTACATAATAGTCAGTGAACTATTACAAATATATAGCTTAACAAACAAAGACATCCTTCTTTAAAAGAGAACTTCTTATACTTTAAGTAGAGTACACAAACTCACATTATCTCAGCAACTTAAGTATTCATACATCATTATTCAGTACACATTATAATTAATCAATATGAAATGCGTTGTTTGATGGAGCGGTGTTCGCATTCATTGGGTTTCCATGTCGACAGAGGACAGAATAAAAACATAGGATGTCACCAGACCCTTGCATGACTACTGACAACTTCACAAACTAAAAATAACAACAAGCATGAGTGTTTGTAGAGATAATAGAAAAAATCTAATCAGAAATAACCATAAATAGGCAAAAAGCTCATATAGTTACCTTTTTGGTGGGTTTTCCATTTCAGTGTCAGTCCTTGTAGTTTTCATGATAGACTTTGTCTGG